ACTACGCTTGTACACAGGGTGTGTTTAGACGTGAAGCTATTTAATTCAGGACATTCTAGGGACTTAAAATATTGATGCACTTAACTATTAGATGCTAGTGTTTACTAATTCTTTAAAATCTATCGAATGGGATCAATGATAGGATCGTAATACTACAGTTTATCAGGACTATCACGTCAAAATTATGAATCGACAAATTCAAAATGGCCACCAGACAATCCTGGTTACTCTGTGGACGAACTCAATTATTTACAGGGAACGAAGGTTAAATACTTATACAGTATTAATGAAACACAAAAGAAATTTATAATTATAATAACTATACATTTTTATCAATTTATTTAAAACAAAAGACACTAAATTTTAAGGACTAATGTGATTAATTTTTTATTTTCTGTTATGCACTCTGATTCTGATTCCCCTGCTGAATAATGTGATTGTGAAATGGTCTGCGCCAGTCTCCGTAATAAAATGTACCAGATCAATTTTTAAATGGTGGTGCAATTTATTAAGATTCTACATGTTGTAACTTAGTTTTAAATATTACTAGACTACCCGTCATCCGTTAGATAACTGTGGGTTTCGGGGGTCATCCATCAAAAAACATCACGTCTGTCACTCAGAGGCATAGCGACCCTTCCCGGCGCCCGGGGACAAACTTTTCGATTTGAACCCCCCCCCCCCCGCAAGATTTCGATTTGCACCCCCCCTCAAACTTTTGATGTGCACCCCCCCCCCCACTCAAACTTTCGATTTGCACCCCCCTCAACCTTTCAATTTATTTTTCCAAACCATTTTGGCGCCCCAACATATGTCCCCCCCCGCCCCCCCTCCACCTCCCCCCGCCTCCCCTCCCCTCCCCCCCCCCCCCCCCGCGTCCCCTCCCCCTCCCGCCCCCTCCTCGCTACGCTACTGCTGTGTCACTTATCGTCACAAAAAACAGACCCCACATTCAAAAATATGTTTTTTATCTTTTAAAAACACCGAAAACACCGATTTCGGACTATCCCTTCATATACTGACGTCACAGGTGACCTACTCAACTCTACTTCACCTGCCCAGTGTCCCGCCAAGTCTCAGATGACATGTTTTTATCGTTTAAAAAACGATTCCAGCCGCGCATGTCTCTGACCACACTATCCTTTCATATGCTTAGGACAAAGAAACAGATGAACTCTACTTCACCTGCCCTGTATCCTGCCAAGTTCAGATAGGCAACTTTATCATTCACATCTAAAAAAAAGAATTGAAAAAAAAATCATTAACATATTGGTCTAGAAACTATGCCACCCGCATGAGAGCCGGCTACGCTACCAACTTAGCTATTTACTCGTGACTTCAACCGTGAATTTTTATACTATACTATGAGTCTCCTTATGCAACATGATTTACGCGCATAGATCTAGATCTAAGTCTAGTAGTAGTAGTAGTAACTTTCAAATTAAATTTTATCTTAAATTTGCCAAACAAAGATTTATATAAAATAAAGAAGTTCTGAAATTAGCTAGATCTAGATAGAATTATCTAGATCTAGATTCTACGACTCGCTTGCTTAGGTCTTAAGTTTAGTTTTTCTTGCTAGATCTAGATCTAGATCTAATCATTAGCTACGCCGATAGGCCCGGAGCGAGCATTTCAAAATTACCATATTCCAAACAAAGATTTATATAAAATAATAAAGGTCTAAAATAGTTTAGTATATAGAAAATCACTATTATCTAAATCTAGATAGAATTATCTATATTTTAGATCTACGACTGAGCTATATTTAGAATTTACGTTTATAATTTAACAAAATTACCGGTATAGAAGCAGCATATGAATCTTAAGCTACGCAAATACGCCCTGGAGCCAGCACTTCAAAATTTGCATAGTCGAAACAAAGATTTATACAAAATAATAAAGGTCTAAAATATTTTAGTATATAGAAACTCATTATTATCTAAATCTAGATAGAATTATCTATATTCTAGATCTACGACTGGTTTGCTTAAGTCTCGTTTTTTTTTATTGTATTTATAACTAATAAATCTTTGATTTGACCTAGATTGTCCTAGATTGTCCTAGATTCTAGATCTATAAATAACTTTCTTGGACAGATTTTAGATCTAGAGAAATTTATCGTAAAACTAAATGAAAAAGACAGTTGAAAATTGATATAAGTGTTGGAACGTAATAAATACAGCAAACGGACGTATTGTTAAAGTTATGACCGACAGAAAATTAGATTTAGAACGCGTTAAACTTTTGAATGGGAACACAATTTTCTTCGATAGACGCCGCCATTTTATTGTACTAAAGAGTAAACAAAAACCTGTGACGTCACTATTCCCACAAAGTTTAGTCAATGTTTTAACATTTTTTAAAAAAATGGGTTACTCTACGTATGAATAAATCAATAAATTAATTAACGTCTTTAAATAAATGTGTGATTAACAGTCAGTCTGCATTAAAAAATTATTCTCTACCTACATACTATTTTACAGCTCTCCAGATAGAGTCGAACATATCGCAATACTCGATCGGACAAACAAACAAATAAATATTCAAACATGTAAACAAACTTGACTTTTAGTAGTATAATAGATATTAGGTGTAAGTAGTACTAGTAGTATTTCTCATTATTTATTTATTTTATATGCATATAGTAACAATGAAGGACAGTTAAGTTGTCCTATAGGATGTTGAGAACCACAGTATGGCACTTTCATCATTGGATATCTCAACCAGTGTGGCACAAGCAACGAATATTTCATTCAATAGAATTAATATTAAAATATACTATCAAGTATAAATTACTTTTAACAAAAAGGTGTTTTCAGGCTTTTTCATGTTTCCAGTAACAGTCATAGGACAAATAGTAGGCCTACACAATAGGCTAGTAGTAAATTAAATTATATTTTATCAATCAATAAATCAATTGTTTATTCCACAGCTGGAGACATTTATGATGGCCTATCCAGAACTTTCCTTACAAGGGAAGGGAAGATGCCCCCCCCCCCCCCCTACAGTTCCCAAAACATATCACTTACTCTTGATGCCCCACAAGATCAAGGTTGAAGGAAACAAGACATACAAAGATGTGGAGTTGTCGTTTTAAAAACTGTTCCCCCAAAGTTATCAACCCGATAGGTTTGAATGTAGCATCAACTGCTGCATCACTTGTAGGCATCACGTCTTTATTAGACTACATTACATTACGTTACTCCACTCAATTTTGATTCTGTTTCTCCTGCACTAGATAACTGTGGCATTTTTTGAAATTAATATTTTAACTCATGTGATTTTTGAAAATAATGAACACATTCTTCCTGTTAATGTTACCAACACAATAGTTTTAGAGTTATTCTAGATCTATGTCCAAAGCAAAACAAAAAAAAATAGAATTTTTTTTTTGTATGAAAATAAAAGTGACCAAAACACATTTTTGTCATTTTCAATTATTTTTTTACCTTAGAAAGACTAATTTTAGATGACTGAAAAAAATTAGGCATATATATTACAAACTTTGCAGTAACTTTACCAATTTCTACACTTCTATGTTATTTAGTTTAGAAAATATGGGTTCTCAAAAATGGCTCTTTTTGAAAATCAGTTTTGTACCAAATTTTACTTTTTAAAAAATCGCATAACTTTTTTTATTTATTGAGATATTTTTATAAAATTTGTGGCATAGACCTTACAATTAAAAGTTCTTTCATGACATACTCCAGAAGTCTGCAATCAATAGTTAATTTCAGTTTGGACTACCTAAGTAAGTAACCTATGTTTTGACTTTGGTCATTTGAAGTGAAAGGTGGGTCAGTATTAATTTTATTTGAATCAGCGACAGTAAAAATAACTTTCCTATAGATTTTTATTTGTTTCTTAGTCTAAATCAGGGGTCGTCAACCTTTTGCGACGGAAGAGCCAAAAGATACAATTTACAAAATTCCCAGTTTTTAAAGAGCCACTAACATTATTTTTCAATTTTTTTTTATATTGTATAAAGATTAGGTAAATACATTCGATTTATGATTTGAAATAAATAGCGAAAAATATGAAGTCATATTGATTCATATAGCAAAAGAAGACTCCCCAACATGGCGCTGAAGAAGTGGAACCCGCTTGGAAAGCGAAAGAGAGAAAGACCACTGGGAACATGGAGAAGAGAGATGGAAGAAGAAGTGCAGGCTACTGGCAAGACCTGGCATGAATTGAAGTGGCTCGCCCAAGACAGAGTGGAATGGCGGAGATTTGTTGCTGCCCTATACTCCACAGGGAGTGATGAGGATTAAATAAGTAATTCATTCATATAAAAACATACACGTTTCGCACAAAGTGTTTTAGCTTGCTCTACTATGATAAAATTTGTAATCAAATAATATAACTATAAGACTAGGGGTCTCCCCCCCCCCTCATACACTTAAGAAGCCAACAACTTTTTCTTTCTTTCCGGACACCACTGGCCTAGAATGTGTCTACTTCGACTAACTCAGTAACTGGTTTGGATATCGGTTTGATTACCGTGTATCGGTTTGACTACCGTGTATCGGTTTGATTACCGTGTATCGGTTTTAATACCGTGTATCGGTTTGATTACCGTGTATCGGTTTGATTACCGTATATGGGTTTGATTACCGTGTATCGGTTTGATTACCGTGTTTGGGTTTGATTACCGTGTATCGGTTTGATTACCGTGTTTGGGTTTGATTACTGTGTATCGGTCGCTTCTGTCTATTGTTTCGCACATGGCTTATCTTCCACCCTACCTGTACCAAGAGTCCAGTACCTGGCTCAACTGTATGAAACAAATAACTAAAATACGTCACTCAGGTCCAATTAATGCTCCTAATATTTGATAAAATACGTCACTCAGGTCCAATTAATGCTCCTAATATTTGATAAAATACGTCACTCAGGTCCAATTAATGCTCCTAATATTTGATGCTATATTTTTCTCCAACAACTCAAGTTTTGCTCAGAACAGAATCAGAAGATGAGTACCCAGCACAGATTGACTGGTCAGAGGTTTTGTAGCTGGTATTTTATTCAATACAATGTTCATTTTAAATACAGAAAGTAATAACATACATATCCATACGGAAAATAATTGACTCAAACATTATTAGATTGCAATGTTCATAGTAAAAATGTTGTATAATTAGGTGTAAATTGTTCTAAAGATTATTTTTTTTTTGACATTATTTATCTAAATGAATGTAAGTGATTTGGCAAGACTTGGTGATTAAACTAACTCATCTCTTAAAATTATTTTGACTTTAATCCTAAAGTTTGAGAACAATGTAAGTAGAGCATACATTGAGAGTGTACAAATCTAGAGACTGTAATTGGTTTCATTGCTTACATCATGAGGCCTTATTACATTCATCACCTGTTTAAACAAGACAATTAAAAAATCAAGCAGATAATCAATTGTGAAAGTGTTCAATATTATTCCATATCAGGCATTGGAGCAAGGTAATTGGCTGGTGCGTAACCACGGCAACCAGCAGAATCAACAAGCCACCATTCAGGGTTGCCATCAAGATCTTTAAAGGCCAGCACAGAGACTGGGTGTCCTGCCTTGAGTGAAGCTTCATTGGGATGACGTGATGTGAAGTCGTATAGAGCACAGTAGTACTGGAGAAATTACATTCATCAGTTATACAGGGTATAGTAGTACTGGGGAAATTACATTCATTAGTTACACAGGGTATAGTAGTACTGGTGAAATTACATTCATCAGTTACACAGGGTATAGTAGTACTGGTGAAATTACATTCATTAGTTACACAGGGTATAGTAGTACTGGTGAAATTACATTCATCAGTTACACAGGGTATAGTAGTACTGGGGAAATTACATTCATCAGTTACACAGGGTATAGTAGTACTGGTGAAATTACATTCATTAGTTACACAGGGTATAGTAGTACTGGGGAGATTACATTCATTAGTTACACAGGGTATAGTAGTACTGGGGAAATTACATTCATCAGTTACACAGGGTATAGTAGTACTGGTGAAATTACATTCATCAGTTACACAGGGTATAGTAGTAATGGTGAAATTACATTCATCAGCTACACAGGGTATAGCAATACTGGGGAAATTACATTCATCAGCTACACAGGGTATAGTAGTACTGGGGAGATTACATTCATTAGTTACACAGGGTATAGAGTACTGGGGAAATTACATTCATCAGTTACACAGGGTATAGTAATACTGGGGAAATTACATTCATCAGTTACACAGGGTATAGTAATACTGGGGAAATTACATGCATCAGCTACACAGGGTATAGTAGTACTGGGGAAATTACATTCATCAGTTACACAGGGTATAGTAGTACTGGGGAAATTACATTCATCAGTTACACAGGGTATAGTAATACTGGGGAAATTACATGCATCAGCTACACAGGGTATAGTAGTACTGGGGAAATTACATTCATCAGTTACACAGGGTATAGTAGTTCTGGGGAAATTACATTCATCAGTTACACAGGGTATAGTAGTACTGGGGAGATTACATTCATCAGCTACACAGGGTATAGTAGTACTGGGGAAATTACATTCATCAGTTACACAGGGTATAGTAGTACTGGGGAAATTACATTCATCAGTTACACAGGGTATAGTAGTACTGGGGAAATTACATTCATCAGTTACACAGGGTATAGAGTACTGGGGAAATTACATTCATCAGTTACACAGGGTATAGTAATACTGGGGAAATTACATTCATCAGTTACACAGGGTATAGTAATACTGGGGAAATTACATGCATCAGCTACACAGGGTATAGTAGTACTGGGGAAATTACATTCATCAGTTACACAGGGTATAGTAGTACTGGGGAAATTACATTCATCAGTTACACAGGGTATAGTAATACTGGGGAAATTACATGCATCAGCTACACAGGGTATAGTAGTACTGGGGAAATTACATTCATCAGTTACACAGGGTATAGTAGTTCTGGGGAAATTACATTCATCAGTTACACAGGGTATAGTAATACTGGGGAAATTACATGCATCAGCTACACAGGGTATAGTAGTACTGGGGAAATTAGTCATCAGTTACACAGGGTATAGTAGTACTGGGGAAATTACATTCATCAGTTACACAGGGTATAGTAGTACTGGGGAAATTACATGCATGTAATGAGAATGTTTCCATGATTTGAGGGATCACCTTAAAGTCTTGAAAAGCCTCATCTCGTCCAGCATGGAATGTGGCGCGACCATCATTGCCTGTCAGCACAACACTGGGCTCTAGGTCCAACATAGTCTGGAGGTCATCTTGACCTGATGGGTCTGGGCTGTAGGGGCTCAAAATATGACTTGGTACAAAGCCTTTGTTCACTAGGTCAAGAGCAGAAAGTGTACACACAATATAATACTGGCAGTATGGTCTACTGGCAGCATGGTCTACTGGCAGCATGGTCTACTGGCAGCATGGTCTACTGGCAGTATGGTCTACTGGAAGTATGGTCTACTGGCAGCATGGTCTACTGGCAGCATGGTCTACTGGAAGTATGGTCTACTGGCAGTATGGTCTACTGGAAGCATGGTCTACTGGCAGTATGGTCTACTGGTAGTATGGTCTACAGTCACTATTCCCATGATTTAGTATTTTATTTTATGAAAAAAAAATATGGTATTTAAAACTAAGACTAGATTGAATGAAGAAAAGCTTGAGGTGTACCTCCATCATCCACAAACCAACGTTCCTTGTTGCCCATGGGATCAAGGTCTTTAACAACGCCCACAACGGTTCCCTGTGTCAAGGCAATGTCCATCAAATCCATCCCATTGTAGGTACAGCTGGCTTGATACAGTCTCCCGGGGTAGGTGTGGAGTAAATAATTCATCTGGCTCTCAGCCTGGCATCCAGGACTTGACGTGGTCTGTCATGTCAGTAAGTACAGGTGTTGGTGACATGTGACATGTAAGTAAGTACAGGTGTTGGTGACATGTGACATGTCAGTAAGTACAGGTGTTGGTGACATGTGACATGTCAGTAAGTACAGGTGTTGGTGACATGTCAGTAAGTACAGGTGTTGGTGACATGTGACATGTCAGTAAGTACAGGTGTTGGTGTCATGTCAGTAAGTACAGGTGTTGGTGACATGTCAGTAGGTACAGGTGTTGGTGACATGTCAGTAAGTAAGGTGTTGGTCACATGTCAGTAAGTACAGGTGTTGGTGACATGTCAGTAAGTTCAGGTGTTGGTGACATGTCATGTCAGTAAGTTCAGGTGTTGGTGACATGTCAGTAAGTACAGGTGTTGGTGACATGTCAGTAAGTACAGGTGTTGGTGACATGTGTCATGTCAGTAAGTACAGGTGTTGGTGACATGTCAGTAAGTACGGGTGTTGGTGACATGTCAGTAAGTACAGGTGTTGGTGACATGTGTCATGTCAGTAAGTACAGGTGTTGGTGACATGTCAGTAAGTACAGGTGTTGGTGACATGTCAGTAAGTACAGGTGTTGGTGACATGTCAGTAAGTACAGGTGTTGGTGACATGTGTCATGTCAGTAAGTACAGGTGTTGGTGACATGTGTCATGTCAGTAAGTACAGGTGTTGGTGACATGTCAGTAAGTACAGGTGTTGGTGACATGTGTCATGTCAGTAAGTACAGGTGTTGGTGACATGTCAGTAAGTACAGGTGTTGGTGACATGTCAGTAAGTACAGGTGTTGGTGACATGTGACATGTCAGTAAGTACAGGTGTTGGTGTCATGTCAGTAAGTACAGGTGTTGGTGACATGTCAGTAAGTACAGGTGTTGGTGACATGTCAGTAAGTAAGGTGTTGGTCACATGTCAGTAAGTACAGGTGTTGGTGACATGTCAGTAAGTTCAGGTGTTGGTGACATGTCATGTCAGTAAGTTCAGGTGTTGGTGACATGTCAGTAAGTACAGGTGTTGGTGACATGTCAGTAAGTACAGGTGTTGGTGACATGTGTCATGTCAGTAAGTACAGGTGTTGGTGACATGTCAGTAAGTACGGGTGTTGGTGACATGTCAGTAAGTACAGGTGTTGGTGACATGTGTCATGTCAGTAAGTACAGGTGTTGGTGACATGTCAGTAAGTACAGGTGTTGGTGACATGTCAGTAAGTACAGGTGTTGGTGACATGTCAGTAAGTACAGGTGTTGGTGACATGTGTCATGTCAGTAAGTACAGGTGTTGGTGACATGTGTCATGTCAGTAAGTACAGGTGTTGGTGACATGTCAGTAAGTACAGGTGTTGGTGACATGTGTCATGTCAGTAAGTACAGGTGTTGGTGACATGTCAGTAAGTACAGGTGTTGGTGACATGTCAGTAAGTACAGGTGTTGGTGACATGTCAGTAAGTTCAGGTGTTGGTGACATGTCATGTCAGTAAGTACAGGTGTTGGTGTCATGTCAGTAAGTACAGGTGTCAGTGACAGGTGTTAGTGACATGTCAACAGGGCCTAGATGTTGACATGTCCCTAGTAGTACTATAGATAGAACATTGGTGACATATTTTGTGTACAGCGCTGCCATATTACCTGTATAACAGTGCTGTGTGCCTCCAGTCTTCCCTTGAGCTTAGCTTTATCTGCTTTGATTGTATCCACCCTTGGATTGAAGCCTCGAGGGATAAATGTCAACAAAGACATTTGGTCAAAGACTGCTGTGTGCCTGATGCTGAATACTTCCATTATGTTGGTCTTCTTCATAGATGGGAGCTGGCCAAGAGATTCATCACAAGATGATGTGGTCAGGTAGATTGGTCAGGGGATGATGCGGTCAGGGGATGATGTGATCAGGTAGATTGGTCAGGGGATGATGCGGTCAGGGGATGATGTGATCAGGTAGATTGGTCAGGTAGATTGGTCAGGGGATGATGTGGTCAGGTAGATTGGTCAGGTAGATTGGTCAGGGGATGATGTGGTCAGGTAGATTGGTCAGGTAGATTGGTCAGGGGATGATGTGGTCAGGGGATGATGTGGTCAGGGGATGATGTGGTCAGGGGATGATTTGGTCAGGGGATGATGTGGTCAGGTAGATTGGTCAGGGGATGATGTGGTCAGGGGATGATGTGGTCAGGGGATGATGTGGTCAGGTAGATTGGTCAGGGGATGATGTGGTCAGGGGATGATGTGGTCAGGGGATGATGTGGTCAGGTAGATTGGTCAGGGGATGATGTGGTCAGGGGATGATGTGGTCAGGGGATGATGTGGTCAGGGGATGATGTGGTCAGGTAGATTGGTCAGGGGATGATGTGGTCAGGTAGATTGGTCAGGGGATGATGTGGTCAGGTAGATTGGTCAGGGGATGATGTGGTCAGGTAGATTGGTCAGGGGATGATGTGGTCAGGGGATGATGTGGTCAGGTAGATTGGTCAGGGGATGATGTGGTCAGGGGATGATGTGGTCAGGGGATGATGTGGTCAGGGGATGATGTGGTCAGGTAGATTGGTCAGGGGATGATGTGGTCAGGTAGATTGGTCAGGGGATGATGTGGTCAGGTAGATTGGTCAGGGGATGATGTGGTCAGGGGATGATGTGGTCAGGGGATGATGTGGTCAGGTAGATTGGTCAGGGGATGATGTGGTCAGGGGATGATGTGGTCAGGGGATGATGTGGTCAGGGGATGATGTGGTCAGGGGATGATGTGGTCAGGGGATGATGTGGTCAGGGGATGATGTGGTCAGGTAGATTGGTCAGGGGATGATGTGGTCAGGGGATGATGTGGTCAGGGGATGATGTGGTCAGGGGATGATGTGGTCAGGTAGATTGGTCAGGGGATGATGTGGTCAGGGGATGATGTGGTCAGGGGATGATTTGGTCAGGTGATGATGTGGTCAGGGGATGATGTGGTCAGGTAGATTGGTCAGGTAGATTGGTCAGGGGATGATGTGGTCAGGTAGATTGGTCAGGGGATGATGTGGTCAGGGGATGATGTGGTCAGGTAGATTGGTCAGGGGATGATGTGGTCAGGTAGATTGGTCAGGTAGATTGGTCAGGGGATGATGTGGTCAGGTAGATTGGTCAGGGGATGATGTGGTCAGGGGATGATGTGGTCAGGTAGATTGGTCAGGGGATGATGTGGTCAGGTAGATTGGTCAGGGGATGATGTGGTCAGGGGATGATGTGGTCAGGTAGATTGGTCAGGGGATGATGTGGTCAGGTAGATTGGTCAGGTGATGATGTGGTCAGGGGATGATGTGGTCAGGGGATGATGTGGTCAGGTAGATTGGTCAGGGGATGATGTGGTCAGGGGACGATGTGGTCAGGGGATGATGTGGTCAGGGGATGATGTGGTCAGGTAGATTGGTCAGGGGATGATGTGGTCAGGGGATGATGTGGTCAGGGGATGATGTGGTCAGGTAGATTGGTCAGGGGATGATGTGGTCAGGGGATGATGTGGTCAGGGGATGATGTGGTCAGGGGATGATGTGGTCAGGTAGATTGGTCAGGTAGATTGGTCAGGGGATGATGTGGTCAGGTAGATTGGTCAGGGGATGATGTGGTCAGGTAGATTGGTCAGGGGATGATGTGGTCAGGTAGATTGGTCAGGGGATGATGTGGTCAGGGGATGATGTGGTCAGGTAGATTGGTCAGGGGATGATGTGGTCAGGTAGATTGGTCAGGGGATGATGTGGTCAGGTAGATTGGTCAGGGGATGATGTGGTCAGGGGATGATGTGGTCAGGTAGATTGGTCAGGGGATGATGTGGTCAGGTAGATTGGTCAAGGGGTGATGTGGTCAGGGGATGATGTGGTCAGGGGATGATTTGGTCAGGGGATGATGTGGTCAGGTAGATTGGTCAGGGGATGATGTGGTCAGGGGATGATGTGGTCAGGGGATGATGTGGTCAGGGGATGATGTGGTCAGGGGATGATGTGGTCAGGTAGATTGGTCAGGGGATGATGTGGTCAGGTAGATTGGTCAAGGGGTGATGTGGTCAGGGGATGATGTGGTCAGGGGATGATATGGTCAGGGGATGATGTGGTCAGGTAGATTGGTCAAGGGATGATGTGGTCAGGGGATGATGTGGTCAGGGGATGATGTGGTCAGGTAGATTGGTCAGGGGATGATGTGGTCAGGGGATGATGTGGTCAAGGGATGATGTGGTCAAGGGATGATGTGGTCAGGGGATGATGTGGTCAGGGGATGATGTGGTCAGGGGATGATGTGGTCAGGGGATGATGTGGTCAGGGGATGATGTGGTCAGGGGATGATGAGGTCAGGGGATGATGTGGTCAGGTAGATTGGTCAGGGGATGATGTGGTCAGGGGATGATGTGGTCAGGGGATGATGTGGTCAGGTAGATTGGTCAGGGGATGATGTGGTCAGGGGATGATGTGGTCAGGTAGATTGGTCAGGGGATGATGTGGTCAGGGGATGATGTGGTCAGGGGATGATGTGGTCAGGGGATGATGTGGTCAGGTAGATTGGTCAGGGGATGATGTGGTCAGGGGATGATGTGGTCAGGGGATGATGTGGTCAGGTAGATTGGTCAGGGGATGATGTGGTCAGGTAGATTGGTCAGGGGATGATTTGGTCAGGTAGATTGGTCAGGGGATGATGTGGTCAGGTAGATTGGTCAGGGGATGATGCGGTCAGGTAGATTGGTCAGGGGATGATGTGGTCAGGGGATGATGTGGTCAGGGGATGATGTGGTCAGGTAGATTGGTCAGGGGATGATGTGGTCAGGTAGATTGGTCAGGGGATGATGTGGTCAGGTAGATTGGTCAGGGGATGATGTGGTCAGGTAGATTGGTCAGGGGATGATGTGGTCAGGTAGATTGGTCAGGGGATGATGTGGTCAGGTAGATTGGTCAGGGGATGATGTGGTCAGGTAGATTGGTCAGGGGATGATGTGGTCAGGTAGATTGGTCAGGGGATGATGCGGTCAGGGGATGATGTGGTCAGGGGATGATTTGGTCAGGGGATGATGTGGTCAGGGGATGATGTGGTCAGGGGATGATGTGGTCAGGTAGATTGGTCAGGGGATGATGTGGTCAGGTAGATTGGTCAGGGGATGATGCGGTCAGGGGATGATGTGGTCAGGGGATGATGTGGTCAGGTAGATTGGTCAGGGGATGATGTGGTCAGGTAGATTGGTCAGGGGATGATGTGGTCAGGTAGATTGGTCAGGGGATGATGTGGTCAGGTAGATTGGTCAGGGGATGATGTGGTCAGGTAGATTGGTCAGGGGATGATGCGGTCAGGGGATGATGTGGTCAGGGGATGATTTGGTCAGGGGATGATGTGGTCAGGGGATGATGTGGTCAGGGGATGATGTGGTCAGGTAGATTGGTCAGGGGATGATGTGGTCAGGTAGATTGGTCAGGGGATGATGCGGTCAGGGGATGATGTGGTCAGGGGATGATGTGGTCAGGGGATGATGTGGTCAGGGGATGATGTGATCAGGTAGATTGGTCAGGGGATGATGTGGTCAGGGGATGATGTGGTCAGGGGATGATTTGGTCAGGTAGATTGGTCAGGGGATGATGTGGTCAGGGGATGATGTGGTCAGGTAGATTGGTCAGGGGATGATGTGGTCAGGTAGATTGGTCAGGTAGATTGGTCAGGGGATGATGTGGTCAGGGGATGATGTGGTCAGGGGACGATGTGGTCAGGTAGATTGGTCAGGGGATGATGTGGTCAGGGGATGATGTGGTCAGGGGATGATGTGGTCAGGTAGATTGGTCAGGGGATGATGTGGTCAGGGGATGATGTGGTCAGGGGATGATGTGGTCAGGGGATGATGTGGTCAGGGGATGATGTGGTCAGGTAGATTGGTCAGGGGATGATGTGGTCAGGGGACGATGTGGTCAGGGGATGATGTGGTCAGGGGATGATGTGGTCAGGGGATGATGTGGTCAGGGGATGATGTGGTCAGGGGATGATGTGGTCAGGTAGATTGGTCAGGGGATGATGTGGTCAGGTAGATTGGTCAGGGGATGATGTGGTCAGGGGACGATGTGGTCAGGGGATGATGTGGTCAGGGGATGATGTGGTCAGGGGATGATGTGGTCAGGGGACGATGTGGTCAGGGGATGATGTGGTCAGGGGATGATGTGGTCAGGGGATGATGTGGTCAGGGGATGATGTGGTCAGGGGATGATGTGGTCAGGTAGATTGGTCAGGGGATGATGTGGTCAGGTAGATTGGTCAGGGGATGATGTGGTCAGGTAGATTGGTCAGGTGATGATGTGGTCAGGGGATGATGTGGTCAGGTAGATTGGTCAGGTAGATTGGTCAGGGGATGATGTGGTCAGCTATATTGGTCAGGGGATGATGTGGTCAGGGGATGATGTGGTCAGGGGATGATGTGGTCAGGTAGATTGGTCAGGGGATGATGTGGTCAGGGGATGATGTGGTCAGGGGATGATGTGGTCAGGTAGATTGGTCAGGGGATGATGTGGTCAGGTAGATTGGTCAGGGGATGATGTGGTCAGGGGATGATGTGGTCAGGTAGATTGGTCAGGGGATGATGTGGTCAGGGGATGATGTAGTCAGGTAGATTGGTCAGGGGATGATGTGGTCAGGTAGATTGGTCAGGTGATGATGTGGTCAGGTAGATTGGTCAGGTGATGATGTGGTCAGGGGATGATGTGGTCAGGTAGATTGGTCAGGGGATGATGTGGTCAGGGGATGATGTGGTCAGGTAGATTGGTCAGGGGATGATGTGGTCAGGTAGATTGGTCAGGTGATGATGTGGTCAGGGGATGATG